ATGTAATTGCAAAAGTAATTCCAAGAATCTTAATAAAGTACTAGCATGACTGCTTAAGTTTAAAAAAAAAAAAAAATTTATATAGTAATTTATTAATAACAGATTGAAGCTTTGTTCAATAAGTATAATTTTAAGTATTATACAAACATAGATATTAAAACTAAAAATATGATATTGAACTCTATAGTTTAATTATTAAACTACCAACTTTTTACAGATAAAGTCAATAATTTAAATTGGGTTGAAGACAAAATCTAAGGATTTTAATTTTATAACCTAATATAGAAATCAAATTAGATGCAAAGTCCTGTAATAAGTTTTAAAATAAAGTATAAGAATAAATTAAAAATTCTTAAAAGAAGATCAACTTTGTAGAAAGAAGACATTATATATGACAGTAACATTAAAAAAGATTCTGTTATATAAAATGTTGTGCAAGTAAATTCTTTAAAAGACAAGTTAGTACTAATATTTTTATATCCAACTTGTAGTATACTTAATTAAAAAAATAATACTAATATAACTAAAACTAAAATAATAAGAGAAACAAGACATGTAAAGAAGATCTGCAATAAAGAATTGGTTTAACCAAAATTAGAATATCTTTGACAGATACTATAAACTTTAAGAAAAAAATAAGATTAATAATCACAACAATATTGATGATCACCATACTTGTATACAATAAGTCAAGGTTTTAGGCCTTCTTACAACACTAATGTAAGTCAAACTATTAATAGAAATATACAAAAAAGAGTATATAATAACTGTTGATGATAATTTTAAATCTTAATAAATCTAGCTATGCCAATTAGTATCAATATATAGAGGGCTGTGTATACCAAATTGGTAGTAAAAAAAGCAAGAAACTGCTAAAGTTAACTAATTTTAAAAAAGAAAATAATTATTGTAAAAAGTAGATAGAAGTATTAAAAATCAAGTAGAATTAAAGAATATAGTATAACAAAATAGCTATAGCCTTACCTTAATTAGTAACAATAATTGAAATATTATAGTTCTAATAATAGAATAAAAAAATGTAAATATAATGTCATATTGGTTAACTATAGCAAATAGTAATATAGTAACACAAATAGAAATATAAAATTAGAATAACAGTATAAAAAAGTTAATAAAAACAATTTACAAATTAACATTATAAAAAATAAAAAATAAAAAAAATAAACTAAAAATATCAATCTTTGTTTTTTAGATATCAATCAAGTTTTTTTTTTAATAAAGAATTAGTATTACTAAAAAAAATAAAAAAACTTTAATAAAAACAAGTTAACAAAAAACAGACAATGTCTGAAAAAATAGAAGCTAATATACTGTTTAAGAACTTGATCAATAAATAAAAATAATAATAAATAAAAATTAAATTTTTTACTATTTAATATTAATATAAATAAAGTTATTTAATAAATAAAAATATACAAACTCTTCTCAATAATCATTTAAACCAAACTAGTACCAAAACAGTTTGAAGAGTTATATTTTTAAGAAGATAATATCTTTGATTCTGTTTTAATATATAAAGCAGATTGTTACTAATAAACTAGAAATATATAAAAAAACTGAGGCATAGGTGACTCTTCTGATGGTTTGTGTTAAGATCAAATCTTTTTGTAGATGGACTCCTTAATACATTTAGTATTCAAACCAGAAGGAAATTCTAGAAACAGTAGAGAAAAACTCTGGTTAAAGATTATTAGAATCTTGAAAACAGAACAAACAACTGAAAACACTTTCTTTAGTTTGACTTTTCATATATCATACTTGTCAACCTCTTTTACCTATTTCGTTTTTCATTTAAAAGTAGAGAATTTGATTCCCTCTCTACAAAAAATCAGCATTGTTTACCACTTCCTTTTTCAGACAGTTACATGTTGTAACATGATGTAATAGGAACACAACAATCACATATACAGCCTAATATATAGTGTAATGAAAAAATAAAGAAGAATTTAAGTTGGAAGATTATAGTAAATTAAAGATATATAGTAATTTCTAGAATTATGTATATAGAATTTTTACCCCTTTAACACAGATTAAAGTGTAGTTAGATCCTTAGCACAGGTTTAAAGTGTTAGTGACCTTACTGGAATGGTTATGAAAGATGTGTTCTCTGACACTTATTTTTTCTTTTTTCTTCCTGTATCTCTTTTTAGTTTAGTTTAGTTTAGTTTTTTTTTTTCTTTCTTTCACTTCCCTACAAGAAAGTGTTATTAGTTTGGTAATACTCTATTGTAGGATGGTGGTCAGGAATAGTCTTCCAGATGGTCTTGTTACTGCCTGATGCAGTAGGTCACTCCTGGACATTAAAGAAGCAGCCGGAAGAGTTGGGTCTTTGAAATTAAATATGTAATATTTGCATTAATGTTTATATTTTCTTAATAAAAGTACATCAGCATGACTACCTAAGTGAAAAAAAAATAAAATAAATAAAAAAAATAATAACTTAAAATTAAATTTTTCAAAATTTCTAAAATTATTTAAAAAACTAATAAAAAATCTTTATAAATGTATTTCAACTATGATTTAATTTACTTATTATTTTAAGCACTCTATTATTTTATCTTCATTAAAACAAATTAAAATTTTTATAAAAAAAACAAATCTAATTCATATATTTATGTTTTTTATAATTTTATCTATTCAAAAAAAGTATTAAAAAATTGTCTTTTAAATAAAAATAAATCAAACTAATTTTATTTTTAAATTTAATTTTAGATTTTATTATTTTAAAATAATTTCATTCTTATATATAGTTTGTATTTTTTTTAAAACAATATTAAGGAAGTTTTGTAATCAATTTCTAAAAACATCAAATCCTAACTAAATCATTTATAAATTGTTTAAAATAAATTTAAACATGAATATTTCTAGAAAAAAAAAAAAAAAAATTAATAAGTAAACCAAAATTAAGCAAAAAGACATATAAGATGGATGTTAGTTTAATTCTTTAAGAAACAGTCTTATTAAAAAACTAAGTAAAATTGAAAAACCCTTACTTTTATAAATGATGAGTAATTTAATCAACTCTTGATTTATCAATAACTGTTCTGTAATTGTAACAAACTTTAACATTTTTAAACACAATTTTTATAATCTTAATATAAGAAAATCTTGGGTTTAAAACTATAAAAAAATTATTTAATCTGACAAAAAGAATAAAATAAAAGAAAACCATTATTAGTAAAAGTTTTTTTAATTACTAATTTGAAACGGTTAGTTAAAAACTAACCAATTTGGTTAGATTTAACTTCTTACTAATTCAACAATCAAGTTTACAAAAACATATGCTTTTTTTTTATATAAAACTTTACCCCTATTGTCCAATTACTTTGTGTTTGTTGCATATTATGTTTATTTCTTTCAATTACAAACTCTTGTTTTTTTTAGTTATTTTTAAAAAAGATTTAAATATTTATTACTTCTTTAATTTGGTTAATAAATTCTTTATCTTTACAAAAAACATATTGATTATTATAAATTTTTGCATCATCAATTGTCTAAAATTTTTTTAATTCATTAACATATAAAGCGTAAAATAGCTTTGACCTTAGCAGATCGGCTTGCGGTTTAGCCTTAGCTGTTCGCATTACTCATTAGCATCCCTAATCTCAACCACATCTACCAATCATACGTTAAACACGTGACCCGGTGCTTTTTTTGCGAAGCATATGCATAATCCTGAACATCATGAAAATTCTACAATCAATCAGCACGTGCGAAAAAGTAAATACATTTTACTGAGTCCAGGATTTACGACGAGTAGTTAAGAAATAAAATTATTTTTGGCTAATCAGTTCAATATTCTTTTACTGCAATCAATTTATAAAAGTCATTAAAAAAAATCTTTCAATTTCATTTTGGTTCTTACAGCTTTTGTTGATCCTTCATGGTATCTGTACCAAACCTTTGGTTTAATCAGGTTATCGTCTAAAAAAAAAAAAAAATTTTAACAGATTGTCTTGTGCTTTCATAAATAATATCATGAAAACATTCTTTACCAGTTGTCCTAGACTCTGTAAATGACTCCGTGTTAGCCTTTGGCCTTCCGAAAAAATCCAATATTTGCTAATCAATTCAAATACAGTATGAAAACTAATGAGATGAGCATACAAATATATCAGTATATTACAATAAAATTGTAAATATTACAGTTTCGACTTTTTGTTGATTCTTTAAGGATTTCGATTCTGATTGAGTGGTGTAGCTAGTTGAGGATCTGAAATAAACAATTATATAGTGACATGTTTGCTAAGATTGTAGGCATTTTATTGTAGAATATGATACGTACGATTTTTTATTTTGAATACTTAAGGAGCGTACTTCCGCAGCACTCTCAAGCTTTATGTTAATCTAACAAGAAAAAAGATAAGTAAATGTGTGATTTACAGCAAAAACATGAGTAATCCTAAAGGCACACACTTCTTTAGCTATCAAATGTTTGGTGATATCATTCTTAAACGCATAATTCTTTGAGTCCACGTCTGAAAATAACACAAGTTGATCTATTGGCCTAAATAAGAAAAATATTAAGAGCATGAAAATAACATTCGAATGAAGATAAAAATGGCACATCTTACGGTTCAATAGCATAAAATGATTTCCCATCTTCAATTTTTTGAATGTATTTTAAATTGAACGAAAGCATTATGTCAACCACTCGTGAAAGTATAGATTTTTTGAGATTAGAGGAAAACCTGCTTTCCTATTCAAAAACAAAATAAGATTATACGTTTTACATTTATATGCTGATTTCAAATAAATAATCTCAATTATTTACCGATTCTAATTCAGGGGACACAATCTTCAACAGATACGAAACAAATTCAGTTACAAATATGTTCTTATTTAAGGTCAATCGATATTTTGATTTTATTCCATTCAGTGCAGAATTTGTTATATTTTCGTTAGCTTGTTGTTGTACATAACACTATAAGAAAAGAGAAAATTCACTTAATGCATTAGCAAAGAAACAGCGAGAAACTATAATAAATCAAACCTCATAATCTTTTCTTGGATATTCCATGCGTGGATGTGCAACACCAGAGAAAAATCGATGAAAATTAATAATCGGATATGGATAATAGACAAATAATCCAAATAATTGCAATGAGCTTGTTCGATAATTTATTTGATCATAAAAATGGATCCATTCATTTATTTGAGAAAGCTTAAATTTTTGATCATGAAAATTACATTTTAGGTAATTTTCAAAACACCCTACGAATTACAATTTTGTTAGTTCACGAAACTTTATCTCATCATAATATTATGCAAAGAATAACACCTTGCATCAATTTCTCGTATTCGCCGTTGGTACTAATTATGGATTCTAAACGATCAATATAACGATTTGCACTGTTCTCTAATGTACAAAAACCAAATGTTTTAAAGTCTTAGTTGGAAAACCAAATGGTTAAATTATTTTAAAGTCTTAGTTATGAAAAAAATACCGGAATCTCGAGCAAATGCATCACGTGATCTGACTTTGGAACTTCTTGTTTGAAATATCTCCTCCCATATTGTAAAGTACGATTTATTTGTGTCTTTTCGACCAATGCTTGTTTTTGAGATTAACTCTTTTGTAACCACATTAGAACTTTGTTTGATAAACTAACACGACAAAATATGAATATTTAAATGATGATAAAAATTAAGAATTTGCATTTTGACAAATAAGCACAAACCTGTAGGGTGGTTAAACAATTTCTTATATCACCTTCTGCTGACCCCGCTAGCACAAATAAGGTTGATATATCAACCGATAATTTCTCACGGTCACAAATCTCTTTTAATCTATTTGCCAGCCTGTTTGATTGTATTCTTTTAAAATTTACTACTTTCGCATAAGCTTTAAGAGGACGCAATGCTGCAGTATATCTAAATAATTTTGAGACCAAGATATAAAATTGTTTCATTTTGCTCATTTACAGATTTTCAATTACAATGCACTTACTGATCGTTGCAGATACATATAATAGGACGAAGCAATGGTTTCTTGGCAGACTCCTTTTTCTTGCCTGAAGAACCGTGGTTGGTTATTTAAAATATATATATATAACGACAGTGTCAGTAAAAATATCTTACTTTTTTTAGTTCCTTTGGACGTCAATTGGTTTACATCTCGCGATAATTGTTTTTCTCCATCAACTAAATCTAAAAGTAATTTAACAAAATTCTGTATATAATTGTTATAGGAAAGCAAGATTAATGAAATGTGAATTGAATTTTTAAAATGGTAACGTAGTTAAATAGTTTATAGACCTCATCACCACTACCGGAAACCCCATCAATCTCATCAATTATTATCAAGTTTGGTTTTTTATTAAAAACGACTGATTGAGTTTCCAAAGCATCCTTAATTCTGTTTTTGATAACCTGACCGGTTCGATCATCGCTTTAAAAAACGACACAATTTTAATTAATGAGTTGAACTATATAAAATTTGATGTTTACTATTTACCTCGCATTGATTTCTACAATATTATATCCACAGTGCGTTGCAACTACGTGCGCCAAGGTCGTCTTTCCACATCCAGGAGGCCCAGTCAGCAGTAAAATCTGGTTAAGAATATTCCATTAAAACTTACTTAATATTGTTTGTGAATTCCTCCATGAATTACCTTTTTTTCTGGCCGATCCCATCGATCATTAGACTAAACAAGAAAATAAAAATTAATAATTCATTGAAACATATTTACACAAATCTACGATATGTATTTATTACCTGATTTTGTATATTGTCTTTATGATAAGTTTCTTTGCCAAAGACACAATAATTCCATTGCACTAGCCACTTTAATACATCTCGATTAATGCTCTAGGAACAAACAAATGGAATAAGTTGATGCGAAGAATTCGTATATATATCAAAAGAATTATTATTATAGTACCTCATCACCAACAAGATCTTTGTAGGATTTTGGACGATACTTATCTACCCATAACTTCGTTTTAATGTTCACGATTTCATGATCACACGAATCTATTTCCATCCGGCTTATGATCGCGAAAAAAAGTTATATATAACAATTTGAGGTTGTGAGTATTTAAATTTCCACTGATTTTTTTACCTGGCAGCCAGTCCACTCTCGCGCTCAACTTCATCCGCTAATTGGTATATAGAAACACCTAAAAGGTGTCTTTTTTTAGTCATATTTAAACGCGTAATTTACGTGTTTTTTTTTTGTGGGGATCAAAAGGGAAAAGCTACGGGCACAACATTCACGTGATTATTTGATCTGTAACGCATGATGTCTACCAGCTACTATAAACGCGTGTGAATTGAACATTTTTTTGTGTTTTACAATACTATATCTCGACCTATGAAAATTGCGAATTTTGATAAGTGAACATAGATAAAAAATTTTAAGATATTAATATATATACTTAATATATAATGTAGTGTAGTGTTTGGTTTATCAATATTAAAATAATGATTTTGTTCAAAAATGTTTTTTTTTTTAACTTTGGCAACAATGCCGGCTCGTTTATTAGGTTCTAAATTTTTATAGTACAACAATTTGTATTTACATTTTACAAAATCAATTATTACTAATACTATATTAGCAATCCTAATCTTTACTACTAGCTATATGACAACTACTTGTGGTCAGGAGATCACGTATGTACTGCTATCCGGCTAAGTCACGTGACACGGCTACTCCAAACTAGGGTAACCCAGCATAGCGGGCTTACATTCCGATTGGCTAGAATGTTGGAATGTTACACTAATAATCTTTACATATTAGAACAGTCCTCTAGTTAACTTTAAATCAATTATATATCACGAAAACAAATTTTAGAAAGTTGCAATTCCAAAAATATTAAAGAATACCTTCAGCTTTATATATAGTTAAAATAATTTAAGAAATGGCAAAATAATTTAGAAGTTAGCTAAAAAATGTTTATTTGAAAGCATGTTTGCACAAGATTCCTATTATGAAGATCTAGCTCTTTCTAGTGAAAACAAAGAAAAAAGAAAGAACCAGCACTGTAATTTAAAGAATCAAAAAGGGATTATTTGTGACAAACAGCACAGTACTTTTGTTGTGTTTGATTAGATGATTATACCAAGTTTCAATCATCATTTGGACTTGGTTGGCAAGGTTTTATACTAAAAACATTATAACAAATTAATTGTAAATGCAAAAAGATCTAAGACTAACTATGTATATTTACATCCAAAACATTAAATATATACTTTTACAGCACAATCTGGTACAGAAACAAAGGTTTTTTTAAAGGTCTTAGAACATTTACTCAATTTTCTTGAGTTACAACAAAAGGTAATAATATGTTATTATTGTTTATACAAAATTGACAATAATCCAGAATATGTTAATTTATCTAATTATTTGTTATCATTAAAAAAGATTTCAAAAGAAGATATAAGAAATATTCAAGGTAAATCATATATGTTAAGAAATAATATTATTTACTTACAATCTGAGTTCTAAGAAATGAAATCTGTATATTATAAAGTATGTGCAGAACTTGATGAAACAAAATTAAATAAATAAATAATTATATTATTATTATTTTTTTTTTTTTACTTATAATTTTTTTTTATTTTTAGAGTTAATTTCTCTTAGCAAAAAAATTAAGCTAATAACAGATATGTTATACACAAGACAGCATATATATAAAAAGAAATCTGTTTTTAATCTTAATGAATTTAAGAAAATATTAGAAATATTAGAAGAAAGTAAACTATTATTAAAAGATTTTTTTAATTAATTAATAGCTAAAATTAATCCAAAAGTAAAGAATAACATAACTAACAAAAAAAATAAGAAATAACTAGTTTTTTTTGTTATTTTTTAGTAGGTCTTAATAATAAATTTATTTATAAAGTTAAAGCAAAGATTAGATATCATTATCAGCAATAGAAACCTTAGCAGATGCTGGCTTAACAGTATAATATGAGACTATTATATAACAAAAAACCCAATATATAAAAATATAGACAATGACAGTAGAAAGTTTTCTGTCAAATAATATAAACCTAGAAAAAGAATTAAAATTTGAATTTCTATATATAAATATATTATATAATATAGTATTTTTGTTTTATGCTTCAAATTTTCAAATTACTAATCAATATATATTTTTTATTAAGATGAAAAACTAATTGTACTTAATGTTGATGATTTCTATAACATATACAAATATTGTTATAATAATTTAATATTACATATAATATCCTTTACTTTACTACAGTATTACTTAAAGCCCTGCCAAATATAGCATCAATACTAAACATTAAAAAAAAATATTCATAATAAAAGAGGTATTGATGTAAAAATAATTATTGACAATCCTAATTTATATTTTTTTTCTAATTTATAGCATAGTTATATAATATGAAAATCAAACATTTATCAATTCAAATTTCTTGCTTGTGACATATGAAGAGCAAGTTGAACATTTATTAGTTTACAGTTATAATATTTGAATTAAACAATGTAAAGAAGATCAAAATATAAGCAATACTAAACTTATAAAACTAAAGAAAGGAGTGCTTTATTCAGTTAACAATTATGTTAATGCTCTTCAAAGTTTAATGGATATAACTGAAACAAAGTCTTACTTTAAAACACAAATTATTGTAGCATCTATGAATTATTCTGGGCAGCTTAATATATGACATATTATTAATTATAAAATTAAATTTGAAAATTTATTTGATATACCAGAGCAGGTTTTTCATATTGTGCCAATAATTAAATCTTTATATATATCTTTGAATAATCATAAAACTGTATTTCTTGTTAATTATAATTTTTTTGAAAAACTTTATCTTGATATTTACAGAAATAAAAAGATTTTGGCTAAAAATCAAAACCTTACAAAATAAATTTATTATTAGAATTAGCATTTAAAGACTGGTCTCAAATTTGTCTAATGGTTTTACAGAAATTTGAGCAATTAAAAGATCCAAAAGTCAAAATTGTTAGTTAACTCTCCCTGACGATCACTCGTACCGAATTTTTTACAAACGACGAGCAGAAATTTGTTAGAAAGAAAAGGAAAGG